TAAATAGAATGTTCTAAGTTCTTTTCCTTGCCATCCTGACAATAATATTACCCAAGGTACCAGCTCGGAAGCTGAGCTCAGTAAGAAGCAGCACACAGAAAAAAATCTTCATCAGTAAACCACGGTAAACACAGAGGGAAGAATGAACTTATTAGTTTTTCAGTGGAGATCTTGCTCCATGCTGAAAGTGCTTTTTAGCAGGTATGCACTTCAAAACACAAGCGTTCACAGAAAAAAAAACCCAAAACCAAACATGAGAGCAGCGGCTGCATACCTGCCAGCCCATCGCAACGGAAATCTGCAACGAAAACGTGTGCATTCACCACCAAAAATGAGCTGAGGAGACCTATTCCACTGCAGCCATTGGTTGCTTCATAAAAACTGATGGAAGTTTTTGAAGTTGCTGGCTCCGGAGCTGGGAATACGGGCAGGGTGTGTGTCAGGCTTGGAACAGCTGGCTTGGACGCTCGCACAAAGTCAGCTACAATGGTGCAACTGGGCCAGGACACCACCCAGCCAGCAGCCGTATGCTTTTCCTTTGTGGTTGCGGAGCTGTTCCAAAAGCTTAAGCTTTCATTCCAAAAGGGGGAAAGAAAAAAAAAAAAAAATAAAAATCCACCAACCCAAATCTTCAGCCCATCCAAGTCTAGACCGGCTTTTTCGACAGTTGGAAATTATACAGTTTCAGTGTTCGGCAACAGCATGGACAGAAACACGCTGTGCCCCACTCTTGGCTAATGTGATCCCCAAAGAGGTGTTGCTTTTTTAGCCTGTACAAGGGCAAAAATCATCCAAAGGGTAGATCTGATCTGATGTAGAGATGTGTGCTGATGTGCAGCCAGGCTTGAAAAAAAAAACCAACCCACAACCGCCAGAGATGGGAACTGCCTGGTTGAGCGCAGGAGGCATAAAGACAGCGTCAGGATGGTTTAAACGCAGCCATTCACCGTAGCGCTGCTGGTGAAACGTGCGGGAGACCGTCACGCTGGATGCCAGCCTGGTTCAGAGAGTTCTCTGAACGCAAGCGCTCTCTTTAGTCATCTTCCTAAAGAGGGGGGGAAAAAAAAAAACCAAACAAAAAAGACACAAAATCCAAGAAAAAACAACCCAAACCAAACACCTGAGCTGAGTACTCGCACGGTCTAAGGAGGAAACCAGACTGGGCAAAGAGCAACTGCAGAACAGCGTAATTCCTTGATTTTTGAGTCGAAATAGTACAAAATTGCATAAAACACAATAGATGAGATTCGTTAGTACTAACATTTCACACCTGCATTCAGTCTCTGCTAAGAGAGCAGTTCCTTGTAGATATGGGTACAACTATTGTTTTCATTCACATTGATCTCTGATTATCACACAGGTAATTTCGGAACGCCCGGGAACAGCTCTGCTGACAGAGTCTCAGTTTGCCCTCACTCCCCCAAGTCCATCTTCTGTTGCTTGTTATTAAAAATTTCCAGTATAAGAAACATTTTTTTTTTTAAAACAACTAAGTATGCAATATCACTCTTAAAAGCATTCCCTCATTTCACAATGTTTTTGAAAGCCATAAATAAAGCCAAATAAATTTTATGAGAGTGACAACATGTTTTTTTCTTCAGCTTTAATTCCAGTGCTCGGTATCTCCTGATGAATAGTTAAGAGAACTATGCACAAACTAGACCTCATCTGCAACTTAAAGACAACAAAAAACTTTGTTCCTCCAGCCTATAAATCATCTGAAAGGCAGCGAACAATACTTCGCTGTATTTCTCAAGCAATTAACATTTTCAGGATTTTTTTGTACCTCTGAACACTTGCTTGACTTAGGACTTTTCAATAGCCAAAATAGATTATTCAGTGGCTAAATAACATCATACAGCAATTAAAAAGCATTGCATTAACTCTAAGTTTGTTAACTAGTTTCTTCCAGACAAAGATATTTCCAGAACATCTGCATGGGTAGAGTAAGAGGCTCCTTGCATAACTGCTGTAAGGGGTAGGGGGGGGAATATCTTCTGAATGCTTTTTAATATTATCTTTCATAATTCGAGTTCTTGGGAATTCATACTAAAGTGGGAACAATGGATTCATTAAATAGTTCACTTTCACCTAATGCCTTCTGCATGCTTCACTCTTAAGCTACAAAGCAACCTTCCCATCGTTGTTTGCGGTCAAGGGAGAGCTTTCTATTTGAAGTCAGAGGAAAAACCCTTCCATCTGTCTGTGCAGGTCGAGAGCCAAAAAGAGAAGTTTTACAGACTGAGGTTCTTCCTCCCACCCTGTTCAATAGCTTAGAAGTGTCTGATCAAGAAAAACTTACGGACTTGAGGATTAAAATAAAAAAAAAAAAAATAAGGGAGAGAGAAGGTTGAAGTTTCCAGAAATATGTAAATCACTTCATTCTCACTAGATATGTCTTAATAAATCTTAGAATTGGGCAAAAATCCATATCCCCAGTCCCAGCCAGAAGCAAGTCTGGAGACACAGAGAAATATTAGCATACGCTCAGTTCAGACCTGCTTATTTATTTCTTAATTTTTTTTTTACTGAATTCAATCAACCCGTCCTTAGCATTTTATCAACACAAGGAATTCTGCTTCTTGAAGACAACAATCTCCCCCAGTTGTTTTTCTGAAGACAACACCTCAGCCTGTTGTCTGTTTCCCCAACACAAGGGGAAAACGCTCCCCAGAGGCACCAGTAAGATAACAACTTAGTCCTCTTTACTGATGAAGAATCTTCAGATCTTGAAAATATCCTTCCCCACCTCTATTTTTTTTTTTCTTTGTTAAAGATTAAAACCTGAAGTTACATACACCGGTCTATGGTACAACAATGGAAATCGAAGTTTACATACCAAACTGCACAGAAGCCAGGAAATGAAAACCAGTTTCCATAGGCACATTAATAGCCTTCTCACTTCATCTTCCACACGCACTTCACGGGTCTGAAGTAAAAGGTTCCTAGCCTTTCCATTTCATTAGCTGGCAACTTTAAAACTCACTAGTAACATGCTACTCTTACATTTATAGTCAAGAGAAAAATCACAGATCACCTGACATACAAAGCAGTATCTATAGACGTATGAACAGCGTATTCAAAGTTGGCACTCATACCTATTGATGAACACAAATATTCCAAGCCTAAGGATTTAGAAGCATTCCAGCAGCCCTGAGTAATGCCAACGAAACACCGATACAGCCTTTAATCCCTACAGACAAGCTCAGTAACAGTAATCAGGCACAGGGACACTTGTCGTCCGCTGACAGGAACTATTTCACTCTTTCTCAAGGACAAACTGGATTTGCCTCGTCTTTTGCATTTTGTGCTAGAGAGCGTATCAAGGGGATGGGGTGTTTGGAGAGCTCAATTATGATGACCAGCTCTAACTTTATTTTCTATCCACAGCGCCGGATACACACCAGAAGGATGAAGATCACACACGCTTCACATACTTACTCCTTACAGTCCCTCACTTGCCGGTTTTACACGTTTGCTAGCCAGAGGCCCTTTTCAGCACAAACCACCCTCAGCTTTTGCGCTGCACAAGCTGGCAGCCGGATAAGAACACATCCTTGGCACCTCGCTGGGCTCTTCAGCGTAGCCGTGCAGCCAGGCGATCAATTCCCACCCTGGGACGCGTCCAGAAGAGAAGGCAGCACAAAGTAAGTTCTGAGCGTCCCCAAGGTGTGAGCCTGATGCTGCTCTGCTAAAGCTGTACACAGTCCCGCTGCACACAGATCTCAGCACAGTTTACGGCTTCTCTTTTCCCTTTGAATACCTTGAAGTGTTTGAGTTGACTGTGCCTGTGTATCCCCTCCTCCTCAAACTGTATTTGTCGACAGTAAGTTGGAAAGAAACCCTCTCTGCTCCATGAGAGCAAAGGCCTTCGTTACATCCTTTCCTGATTTGGATTCAAACGCAGCTGAGGTGCGTAACAACCAGCAATGCCGCCTCTACAATTTCAGAATCACTTACTGGGGACAGGGAAGAGAACGGGGTGTTTCACTTTTTAAACTTGGGGAAAACCTGATTTGGCTTAACCTGAAGGTGATTATTCTAAAATCGTGATTTGGAACACAGAACACCCAAATAAAACAAAAACTGTTAAAACCCAAAAAGAACAACTGAAAGAAACCTTTTGTTTATGGAGATAGTCAAATGAAAATCATTTCATTTGATCTCTCATCTTGCTTTAGACACATCTATAGCACTAAAACATATGCCTTCTATATGAAAAGATGCTGTAGAAAACCACAAGACTGTAAATACTAGATTTATGATTTGTTTGCAATTATATTTAATATTATTTTCTTTTTACAAAGCAGTCAAAATTAGAAAAAAAAAAAAGAATAGCAAGAAACCCCCCATCTGCTGTCTAGCATCAGTAATCCTCACTGGTTTGTTTACCATTTATAAGGAAAACATCATTCAAGGAAGCTTGTCACAGAGACTCTTCTGCAGTAACTGGCCCGCGGTGCAAATCCATGGCGTTTGTCAGTTCATCTGTTTTTTCTGAAAGTCC